ATATATATATATATATATATATATATATATATATATATATATATATATATATATATATATATATATATATATATATATATATATATATATATATATTCAATTTCAATTTTGTTGCCAAGTAATGAACTGAACCATTTTTGAATTCGAAATGACATTTTGTCCAATCGACTAGAGTTGACTAGACACCCAGCATGGTTTTTCCAATGCATGTCACTGTTTACCATCCAGTGTGTATGTTTTATTGTATCAAATTGAAATGCTCTTTGGTTTAGCAGCATGTTTCCAGTCTTGTTGCCTAAGTATGTTCCGCAGGTTTTCTTTTTTCTGCTTTTTTGGAGGGGGGGGGGCAATTTAATTTGTGTTTCAAAAAAAAGAACAAACACTCATCTCTTCAATTATACAGTTCTGCATACACAAACTGAAAACGTCATTTTTTTGCTTTGAAATGAGTTATATTAGTTATAAGACAAATATTCTTGATCAATGTTTTGTGGTCAGGTGAATAAAATTTTATTTTTATCTATTTCATGAGAATAAGTCATTAGATTGCTAAAAAAAATCTTAACAATGTTTGACTTTGCAATTACCATTATTAATCCAAGCAAATATCCAACTCGTTCTTACATCCTCTTACATATAAACATATTACACTAGGTTTTCTCGTCCTTGTATTTGTGTTTATAACTACAACGAAAAATTTATAAGCTGTATTCTATAAACACCATTTCATGATAAAGCATCATTCGAAAATACTTAATAATAACTCAACGCAACTAACATCTTGTACGGTTGTAAATTCATGTGTCAGTAAGCATACTTCAAAACACATGTTTGTTTGTTGACTTTTCAAGTCTTTCATCCTCAATTTCGTATTAAAAATGCGAGTTTCAGCTTTCCGTATAGTAGCATAGGTAACATAATCCTGAAAATTTATTTCAGTATAGTAAGAATAGTCAGGAAAACTTAAATGAAAAAAAAATGTATTTGTAATTAATCAATATATAATCCAAAACATGAATAAATAATTATATTTAATATATTTTATAAGGCGATTCTATGGCAACACATAACGGTCGACCATTCGATACTTGAGATCATCAAGACAGCAATGGTTGTCAAAATGCGTACAGAGGAGATTGGTGGTATAATCATTGCCATGCAGCCAATCTAAATGGTCTGTACCTGAAGGGACATCACTCCTCTTTCGCTGACTGCGTTAACTGGTACCACTGGCTCGGATTCCATTACTCATTGAAAACCACAGAAATGAAAATTCGAAGACAGTAGATAGAATTATTACAGCGTATTAATATACAACTTGATATTGAATAAAAGATTTTAAATAGTGAAGGAATTTTATCACAAAGGCTTGTGTCAATGCAGAGAGATAAAATATTGTTTATTATTCATATTCCAGACCTAGTCTTTAAAAACATTCATTTATCCCTTCCTCTACCACAGCAATGATTCATATGATCACTGTTTCATATTTGATGTAACTATGATAACTGTCAAGGTATTCATATGATTCTCATATGCAGAATACATATGATTCTCATATGATCATTATATGAAAGGCAAATGTGGATCATATGTGCCTATGTATAATAACAAAATACAGTTAAAGCATAAGTTTACCTAATTGGCTCTATCCTCCACACGTATGATTGAAAAAAAAATATATTACATATATATTTCATATAAATTAAACATGTATAATTCATCTGTATTTTTGCACACACATATTACATATATATTACATGTGTTATACATATGTGGTGAAAACATGTGTTTTACATATATATTATCTCACAGGTGATTTACATGTGTATATTATATATGTTTTACATATAAATGAAACACATATTTTACATGTGTTTATTTACACAAGGTATTACATGTGTTGAACACATGTAAATCAAACACATGTTTAACACATGTGGACATTTTTCCTGTGTAGACCTAATATAAGGTAGATGTGAATAAATAAATAATCCTGACAGCGAATAAAACTGTCTAAAATTACAAAAAAATATGTTGATAAATCCATGTTTAAAGTGTTTTCACCTCACTTAGCTATGACGTCTCAACTGCTCAACTATGACGTCATGTAGCATATAACTGTATTACAAAAAGACAGAGGAAAAGGAAAAATCAAATATTTTCTTTAAAAATGTAATAAACAGAAAAATTCAATGTTTTTTAGTTGAATATGGAATTTATTTCAATTTCCACAATTTTTTTTTATATTTTCACTCGTGCTTCGCATTCGTGGAAATATCAAAAATCCTGTCCCACTCATAAAATAAATTCCATATTCAACTACAAAACATTGAATATCCTTTATTTATTTTGTATAGATATACAAATACAGCATAATACAAGGTATTATTATATGATTGAATAATTTCCATCTCCCTGATTGGCTGAGATCCAACTATGTTAGCAAAATACTACGTTGTATTGACCTGCACGTGACGTTCCAGGTCAATACAAGGATTTATTTCCTCCACATTGATCTAAAAATAGATTGGGGAATTCCAAATTGATACAAATTGTTTTGGAAAGCTATTTAAACTACTATGATTTTTTTATGTGAACAAAACATAAGCGAATATATATTTTAGGGTGAGGGTGGTAGTCTCTGGGGATGCACCCCCCCCCCCCCCTCCAAAAACTTTTACTGAACAACATTTTTTTTGGTTTACTTTGTAGCTGTCAATTTTCCCTGATGATACTCATTCCTTTCAAAATCTATCCTATAAAAAAGACTGACATTATATATTTTTTTTCATGGTATACTTAAATTGCTTTAAAAAACATTTCAAATTGAACCGACTGGTAAGGTTCATTCACATTTTAATTCTGCTTCTCTCTTGTATTTGGCTAGGACTTAATTAAATGCAAAAAAGTAATGAGCTGTATCATTTTATCAGTGTATCATATAATAAAACAATTATTGCTGTTTTTTCGTTCAATACAATGATTTAGCCCTTCGGGCTCGGTGAATATTGTACTCCTCAGATGGCTAAATCATTGTATTGACCTAAAAAACAGCAATAATTGTATAATATTGAATAAAATATTAATCTTTTTAAACTTAAGATTGTATTACAACATAATATATTTCCGTGGAATTTTAAGTGTTCTTTTTACTGAAATATTTCAAAATTAGCAAAGGTGATAATTTTTAAAATAGTTTTATACGAAATAATCTGTGTTAGAGAAGGTTCTGGAAACATTCAATGACCTCTGAACTCCTTATTCTATGAAATGTGATGAAAACATTACCGTAATTAATGATTTAAAATACACAAACAATACACACCAGGAGCATATACCATACAGTTTTCCTGCAGGTAAGGGTATTTATGCAGACAGCACAATATATTTGTGATCAATGTTTTAATCATGTTAATTGAGTTGCATGAAATTTAGTCTCAAAACCTTATAGTGTTGTATGTTCAATTTATAAACTGGATGGAAAACACTTAACGTAAGGAACAAGTTACATTTAATGCAATAAAGCACCCGTACAACCCATTCCAACACAGTTATTATTAGGTTTGGGGACAATGTAAAGAGTAAGTGTAAAGAAGCTGGATAGTAAGCAGTATTAACGAAAATTTTCAATGATTTTTTCTTCACAAAAACATATTATTTAGTTGGCCGTATTGCAGTTAAATCCAATTTCCAAAATTTTTATACAAAGACCATATTAAGAAAGATAAGATACTAATACTATGAACAAAACCAAACAGGTTGACCTACTTTTTTAAAAAACAAACCTCGACCATAACTTTTAAAGGATGGCTAGTGCTTTCATAATTACATACAAATTTAATCCGGCATTTCATCCTTGTAACAAGACCTTTCATTTGATAGCAAGACCTTTGACCCTTTGACCTTGGAGTTTGACCTACTTTTTAAATTTTTTTGGCCTTGTCCATAACTCTTGAAGGGTTAGGGGTAGGGCTTCCATACTTCACATATGTATTTTTTGTGGCAAGACCTTTCATTGGATACCATTACCTTGATCTTTTAACCTTGACATTGGAAATTTCTGTACTTATGTAAAAACTTTAACCTTGGCCTACTTTCATACTTCACCATTGAATTTCCAGTGAAAATACCCAACTTTTGGTACCAATATATTAAATTTGCATTGAAGAAAAGTTTAGTCTCTGCTATGTTGCTATACGGGGGACATCAGTGTTTCACGAACACTTCTTGTTTTTCGCTCCTTTTCAACAGTTAGTCTGCAAGAATGCCAATTCTACTATCTATGCACTTCTTATAAGTTTTGATGGACATACTACTAATTGATAAAAATATATACAAGTGAAAATAGTAAGGCTTTTTTTTCAAAAATGTTGTCAATTCTGAGATATTTGGCTAATCACAGCTTTATAATGCATGAAAAATTCTTGCTGAATATTAAATGTTGGACTAATTATTTAACAATAACCATGCATAAACATGTCAACATTCTAAATATCGAATGTATGTCTACCCATGACCTAGGTTTTCTTACAAAAGATGACCTATCGTTTAAAAAAAGTCGTCTTTCTTACTACATTTCAACGTACATTATACGTATTAGGCAAACGGCAATTAAGCAATCACTGAACCAGTATTTTTTTTTTGTTATCAATGCATCTTCCCTTAACTTGAAGCTTAATTGAGCATTTGAGGAAGCGTTAAAGATAACAACAATTGTTTTTTTTTTACATTTAGAATTTAATTTCAGCTGGAGAAGTCATTTCAAACAAAACAATTAGTGCATCTTCCATCCAGAAAATGAGGTAAATTTCTCTCTTGCATATGCAGCTCCATATCCGGAAGCAATGCTGACTTTGTCACCTTTCTTCAGTTGAACTAGAACTGTATTAGAGCCGCTACTCCAAAGTCTCTGTGACGTGTCGGAGTTGTCTATTGCTGTAAATCCTTTGTATTGACCATTAACCCTAAGGATATGATGAGCCTTTTTTTTGGCTCGGTTAATGTTGCCCAGGTAAACCCATATGTCCCGTCAGAAGGTGCGGTAAAGATTCCTGTTGTCCTCTCATATGATTCCCGTCGTTAACGAGAACTGTATCATAGATCAACGTTTCGTGTTCTTTGTAACTTTTAGCAGCTAATTGATAAACCGAAAATGCAACACTGCCTTTAAAAACGAATGGAGAAAACAGATAAGTAAATTCATATGTACAGAACACTGTGACATACTTAACTTTTGTATGGATGTAATTTTCGTTGTTTTCGATGTATGGAGACACCCACGAATTCATGACCACCACAAAATGTATAATTTCATGCTTTAATACATATGCATTAACTCCTAAACATTCTCCAACAACGAAATCAAATCCCAACAAACCAATATTATTTTCCCAAATCTTGAGCATTTGACCCTACGAAAATATTTGATTTTACAGTTTATGTTTCGGTTCAATTCTTCTTCATTTTTTAACAAAATTTTATCTTCGATATATAGCCAAGAGTTTCTGGTACGCTACTCTCCTCATAAACCCTTGGCATACAGTGCTGAAGAAGGGATTGTTTTTGTCATGTGATCTCGAATTTAAACAGGTACACTCAATTTTTTTCTAAAAAATCATGAAAGTTTCTGAAGATTAATTAACAAGAAGGTATTTATTTTTAAAGTGCACATCTTCATTCTCGAACGTAAAGAGTCAAAATATGCCCTGACCTTGGATATTGTTTTTTACCAAAAAAATTGCTGATTTGTCGATCGTTGTTGATCACCCCAATCACAGCTTGAGAAAAACATTTTTAACACCGTATGCAAATTTTTTTTTATGATGAGATGATAATGTCTGATCCCCCAAAACTGACTATAAAAAAGTATCTGTAAGACAAGACAATCAAAACATCATATTAAAAAGTTAGCAAATAGATGGCACATCAAAATAAAATAAGCAAACATCACAAGAAAAAGTTGGCAAAAAGATGGTACAGAACATCAGAAACCCTTGGCTAGCAAAGATGTCTAAATAGAGATTAAACATATGATGTTACTATCACATATTATAATGCAGCTCTTAATCCCGTGGATACAACTCATTGGATATTGTTTTCGTATCCACACTATGTATTCCTACACCGCGTGACTATGTAAATAAACAAATGCATGTGCATGCTAGAAAAAATCGAAATTATTCAATTGAAAGTTGATGGAGATTGTTCAGGATGGGTGAAGTCTTCTAAATTTGAAAATGATGGAATTATTTATGAAGTCGAGATTGAAGAAACAGGTATTACCTTTTCCAAGTTACCTTCTCAAACTACTGAAACCTGACTCACAGCAGACGATACATGTATCAGGAAGAAATATATGGAGATAACGAACAGTATTCAAGATCATAAATCCATGAAAAAACACAAAATAAGAGAATCGATATACAGATCGAGTAGTTCAAGGATATTATATTGCAGCTTTAATTACAATGTCGATCTCCAAGTTATATTAATTCAATCTTGAAATAATCTTACACAATCTTGTTCATACAGCCTGCTTAACTCATAGATCTTAGGAAGACCTTGACTCTCTGCGAACGAGTCATGAAATATATTGAAATATGGCGCAATGAAGCTTGTAATACCTTGATGAAATAAATTTCTTTCTAGATATCATGGATGAAAGATCTTCACCACTGAATAAAAAATTCGAAATTGAACATTGATCCGAATGATTTTTTCCGTAGTTACTTCTGCACTCGCAATGCATCGCTTGTTAATTAAGCTACGTTCCAGGGACGTAGCAACAAGGGGGGGGGGGCTGGCGGGCCTCCCCCCACTTTTTCCCCAACATTACCTTTACTATAGAAAATGTTCATTGAAGGGATTGTTGGCTCCCCACTTTTTTAAGCGGTTAGCTTCGCTAACCGCTTTATGGCATGTATCGACACCGGAAACATCCATAAGGCGCTACCTATCGACAACAGAAACTTCAACAAAGCCTCTAGATCTACCTATGATTTGTTTCTAACACATATAACATATGTTAAATAAAATCAAGACTATCAAAACAACATAATCTTTCGGTTTTTAATTTTTATCTGATTTTGTTTGTCAATGAAATAAATTTATAATTGTTGTATTTTAAAATTTTATGTATAGGAGCATTTGGTGTCGAGATTAAATTTCCGTGACGTCAGCTGATGGCGATCGGGCCCTGTGACGAAATTCGAAGTCAGCATGAAGTTTAGCTGATAACATTATCAACGCGTTGGATTTAAACTTAAGGAAGAAATATATAGCGAGACATATCATATTTGAACCCAATGCTACACGAAAACCAGTAGGCATATCCGATTTATGTGTTAAATTGAAGCCTGAATTGAACAGGGGGTCAAAATGGCGTTGCACACCTTGTGTATTTAAACTGTATATAGAGGGGTAGAATGTTTCGATATTTGGCTAATTTAGAGACTTACTGATGCCTGTGATTAATTATAAGGCACCCCTCATGAACATGAACAATAAATATTTGATCGAATTATGCTACTGGCACAGAAAGGACGGGTTAATTACTGGCTAAAGGGGTTGAAGGTTATTACAGACTGCAAAACATCGGAGAATCTCTCGATCGAGTTTCATTTTCCTTGCCAAAATATTTAGCCATCCCTTTAATTAACCTAAGTAATACTAGTACATGAAGAAAGCCTTTTATATAAAAAAAAAACTGAATACATCTGCAGGGTTCTCCATCATTTGAAATTTTACTGTGTTGCAGAGTTTACGTGAAGCACTAAAATTTCGCGCTATTTTCGAGATCAAATTCGCAACTGAATTACTTTTCATTAAATTATATAGGAATATATGCGCACACTTTTTAAAATAAATCACTATTTCGATGTACAAATATTTTCGTCATACATATTGATAAAAGTTAAAGCACCTGCTATGAAAAGCAGGGGAAATTCTGATCGATACAATCAAACTAATTACCACTTTTGAAAGTAAATTTGTTGTAATTTTTTGTCAGTTTTTTTTTTTTTTTATCAAATTACCGAATTGCAAAGGAAAAAATAGGGAAACTTCAGGACAGGATGATATTCTTACGAGTTCCTTGAAAATTCAAAACAATTTATCAATTTAATGATTTCGGTATAATGTTATGTTTGATTAAAGTTTCAGTTTGAGAGAATTTATATGTTTTGATTTTCTGATTATCACATATATTACTGTATCGGCAAATTTTTTACCGTTTCGCATGCATAAAATTTTAATCGTTACTGTGTCGGAGAAAATTTTGCTGTGTCGGGAGCAACACAGTAAAACAGCTCATGGAGAACCCTGCATCTGTAAGCTGTACAGTTATAGATTACTTCCATAATGAAACGTTAGTTTTCTTCTCCTTTTTTCTCAATTGAAATTATTTAAAAGATGATGAAAGCTTTGTTTCCAGGGATAAATTCTGTACTCAATTCTGTACTCAGTCTAATTATTACAAACGATTATAAACGATCACATTTTTAAAAAAAAATATTTGTCAAATACTCAGTATATGTTCGTTTATATATATCATGCTTGCAAGACTCTTTTTTAAATAATTGTCATATACCATTTACTTATTTGAACATTTATTGTATTTAAAGTCAACAGTGTACATTTCTTATTTCTTAAAACTTTATTATCTTGTTTACTTGTCTTTCTTCCTGTGAGAGAAATAGTTCATACTATTAATAAACAGATGTACTCAGTATCTGTATCAAAATACAGAATGAACAGTGATCGGTCTCAAAAGAAAAACGGATCCTTGAAAGTTCCGGTGCCTAGGAGAAGTAAGCATCCCCAATAACAGGTCACAACTGCTGACCCGCAGTGAGCGTACGAAACTGAAGCCCTCTGAAATTAAATTAATTTACAAATTCTCTGCTCGTCCATCCATTTTTTCTCAGACTAGCCAGCTAAAGATCTATGTACAGAACTCCAAATAAATTAATCCTAAGAATTTGAATTATCATCACCGTCTTCCTTGGAAGACGGTATTGTATAGTTAAAGTTTTTTACAGTCGTCGGACTATGCACTTCCTCTATTTTGTGATTGGTAGAAATTGCATGATGAGAAAATTTTCAATTATTTCATTGGTTGAAATGCTGTTCAAGGCAAGGGAGATAACTTTCTGATGATATATTTTTCGTACGACTTAACAATTTTGCAAGATTTCCAATCTTAAAAAAATGACAAAACGAACAACAAAATCAGCAGTAATTATTTCTTAATAACATGATATGTTTTATAGCGATAAATAAAAAGGTCTCTTTAATTTCATTATAAATAAAATTTGATAGTTATTGCTTGCAGGCTTTACAATTTGTTATTATTCTTTTCCCCTTTCTTGTTTGAAGAGTGAATGGGAATCAGCTGAGGTTTGCCGAAAGCTCTCGGCAAGTCAACGTTTACGGAGATGACCGAGCGACAACCGTGGTAGGGCTAATGCCCGTAAAAAACTTATTTAGAAATACAAAATCAAGAAATTAAAAAGAAGTATAGATCTGTTTACTATTTGAAAATGTTGCTAAAGACGGTAAGCTTTTTTTGAAAAGCTCTACTTGTTTTATTTTCTTTTTGAGTTGTTTGCTATAGTAGGCTTTACAGTTACCTAATTTCAGAATCAATAGAGCATGAAAGACAATTAAATTTGCAACATCAACATATTTTTTTTCGTTCTTAGCACTTTTGGACGCCACCAATGGAGACAATTAGGAAGAAATTTTTGAAATTGAACTCCCTGTCTTTCAAACTGAAAATCTCAGGTTGATATTTTGAAACATACATTTGTGACATCAGTCTGGGATGTTATTGGTTTTTCCATTTAGTTAAGTACTACAAAAGTCAGTGTGTCTGCTTCTTCGCTGATGACATTGGACAAAGATATGCATGCTTACTTTAATAGCATCACTCAATGCATTTTTTTGTTATTTTACACTGTACAGTCAAATTCCATGAAAGCATGCTAACCGCTTTTCAGTACTTTCAGTACTTTGATTTACCATAGTATAGTTGTATCAAAGAATTGTAGGAAAAAATTGGAATTGAACTTGGCTTTGAAAAAGCTGGTATTGTTTTAGTGATGAAAAAAATGAGTCTTGTCCAGTTTGGGGTGACATATGCTATTGCATGCAATAGCAGCCTTTCTAGTTTGTTATTCTGGTGAGAACGCAGGCACGTAGCATCGTTTTTGAAAGGGGAGGCAACCAGAGAATTTTTTTTACTTACCTGAAAAAGTTGACAAGCAAAAAAAAGAAAAAGAAAAATTAAAAATTGCCCAACCTCGACAATCCTATTTTGTGTGTGTGTGTGTGGGGGGGGGGGGGGGGTAGTGGCCAACTTTTTTCAAAGCCCCAACATTACCTTTACTATAGAAAATGTTCACTGAATGGATTGTTGGCCCCCACTTTTTTTCCTATACTATATTTGTATCAAAGAATTGTAGGAAAAAATTGGAATTGAAAGTGACTTGGCTTTGAAAAAGTTGGCCACTACCCCCTCCCCCTCCCCACACACACAAAATAGGATTGTCGAGGTTGGGCAACTTTTAATTTTTCTTTTCTTTTTTTTTCTTTTGCTTGTCAACTTTTTCAGGTTAGTAAAAAAATTCTCTGATTGCCCCCCCCCCCCCCCCCCCCCCCCCCACTTTCCAAAACGATGCTACGTGCCTGCGTTCTCACGCAGCCATGTCCGAGAAACAGCCCGTTTAACAAAAACATGCGTACAATCGACGTAAAAATGAGAAAAAAAATAAGTCGCCTAGATTTAATAGATATATTACATATAGAATTAAAAAAAAACGTTTTTTGTTAATAATCAGAACTGTACATTCATGCTTCGATTTGGTAATGATATAGTACTAACATAGGACGCCTGTGAAGTCAGAATCTAGACTCATCAAATGTCACGTTTTTGGCTTCAAAAGACAGGTCTTGGTACAATTTATGAAATGTATACGCCCAAATGTTACATTAATAATTATTATACATGTATTTATAATTATATAATTTATCCCTAACCTGCCTAACATGATATTCCTATGAATTCGTTACCTTTCTTGGTTTCCTTATGACAATCACACTTTGGCACCCAATCCATTTCCCGGCAAACATTTTTGTAGGTGGCGTAGTCATGGCGGAAAGTCTTTGGTTTTGGAGAGTCACCTCTGGTTATGATGATCATGTACAAAATTGCAACAAGTAACAGCACCGTCTTTGTATTCATTGCTGCTAAAGAAGTTAGGGAACCGGATACCATTTTGTAACAAGATGTGTTTGTGAAACACTGATGCCCTGCATTGCAGCTTTCAGAGAGAGCTAAATTTTCTCAAAGTGAATTGCTAGACAAACTCTTAAGTCACAGAAGCAGAAAAGCAGACAAGCAGTCAGATGGACGGATGAACAGGACAAAAACTCTAACCCCCGCATCTTTTATAACTAGTGCATAAAAAGATGAAATTATAATGAAGTACTTTTTAAACTGATGCATGAAAAATAATGAAAGAAGAATACCTGAATTTACAATGAGCGTTGATTTTTTTTTTTTTCACTGTTTCTTAAAAAATTAAAAGACACAAATTTATATATTAACACCGTTTTGTGATTGATTCTTTGCAAAATGTTTCTGATAATGCTCAAAATGTAATTAGAATGAAAATTGATATGACATGTTGGAAACTGATATTCTTCTAATCAATATATAACTGAAAATTTTACATGCAATATCATTATTTACCAACTGTATATCTGTATAGGGTATCCAAAATTCCTTTCGCTTGGTATGTGTAAATTTATTTTCATGTAGATCATTTGATTCAGTAAAAAATTAGAAAATTTCTTGTGAGGTTTTACCAGGGGTCGTGGAACCCAAATCATTTCACTTCCGGTATCGACCGGAAGTATTGATGACGCACGAAAAGGCGATTCTGCAACGCTATGAATCATGAACTATCATCTCCAATTAATCATCAGTTCATATCTTAAGTAGTTTTCGCTACTAAATCAAGACAAAATTGCATTTTAAAATCAGAAAATTGTCCATATCTCATGACCGGAAGTGACGTCATAAAAACGCTATCAAGATCGATTGATTAGCTATTACATATGAACATTTCATGTAAATCGGCCGAGCCGTTTCTGAGAAATCGCGTGCACAAAATCGGTTGGAATAATAATAATAAAAAAATAATAATAATTAAATAATAAGATAAAGAAACCGAACGAAAGACCTTAATAATAAGAAACAGAGTAAAAACAATATGTTCCCCAACTTCGTTTGGGGAACATAATAAGAAACAGAGTAAAAACAATATGTTCCCCAACTTCGTTTGGGGAACATAACTAGATATGAAATTCGTTGCGAGCAACGAGAGGTCTTCCGTCCGTTTTCGGAATAAAAAAAAAACGTAAAATGGAGCTAAAAAAAAACATTGCTCGCAAGGGGGATTGAACACAAGTCGCCAGCATGAAATTCCAACGCTCTAAATATTACGCTAATATGACCTCTACTCTGAATCTACTTGTATATATTTACGAAACAGTGTTTCTCTCTTAAAAAGAAAGGCGGGTCACTATTCAAAATTTAGCGCCAAACGCCACGAGTTAATCTTGCACCTTTTCTTTGGAATGTTCTATTGAATAGGTGTGATAGCTTCAATGAAATTTGAAAAAAGAACGTTCTTATAGCCTACGTTTCGAAGTTTAGAAAGTATATTTAACACATTTAACAAATTCCTTACTGTATATATGTATGTAACACTAAAGCAATGAAACGTTTATAAATTTTTAACTTTTTTTCAATTTCCTGTTTATCCCCAAAGTGAACTCTCCCGATTAGTTAATCGAAAAAGGTTGTAATGTTTCGCCGAAAAACATGGCTCGCCATACATGTACGACGGTCAAGGAAAAAGATATCAATTATGCCCAATAACTTGAATCAGGTCTTTGAGACAAGAATGCTAAAATAAACTCCATGAAGCGATCTTTAAAAAAGTTGTTTTTTTTTTTATTTTGTCTTATCATTAGTTTAATATGACACAATTGTGCGTACAAAAAAAAAAAAACAGTGGTTGTGATTTATACTTGATATTGATATTGATATAATTGATATTCTTTTTTTAAAAAATATTATTTATAAGTATGATTTAAGATCTGTTTTTCCGTGGTACACAAAAGATATTAGGTATCGAATTTCATTTGAACATTTGTCTTTTCTTTTTCTACATTGAGAACCAGCCAAAACCAATTATAGAAGACATTAGTTTGACACAGAACTGCAACGTAACTACGACATGACAGTCCAAGTATTCCTTTACATTTCATTTATCCTTATGTTACTTTCGTTCAAGCAAACGCTCGGCTGCCTCCATAAACCCCTATTGCGAAATGTCGGCGTTGACAGTGACAGCCGCCATTTAGGACCCGCTTCAGATTTTTGAATGCATATATCTAGAGTTTAGATTTATCAGCATTCAAACAAATTATATAGTAAGCATTATGAGAAGGGTTTCTATTAACATACCAAAAATAAATGAAAAATACTGAAAAAAAGTTAGAAAATACGATTTTTTAAACTTTGGATCTCATACCGACCGGAAATACTGACGACGCAAGAAAAGGTGATTCTGCAAACCACAAAGTCATGATCTATCATCTCCAATTAGTCTCCAGTTTATATCCACAGCCATTTTCGATAAAAGAGCGCGACAAAATCGCATTTTAAAATCAGGAAATTGTCCATAACTTGGCACCAGAAGCGAATTTCCAAATTTCTCTTCGAATGTAACAACTTCATATAATGACACATATTTTGTGAAAGTTTCATGAAAAACTGCTGAATAGTTTTCGAAATATCGCCTGCACAAAATTTTGTTTAAAAAAAAGAATAATAATAAGAACTAGAAACGATCTCGTTGCAAGCAACGAGTAGGTCTTCCGTCCGATTCCGAAAAATAACCCATAAAATCGAGTTGAAAATGGATTAAACATATTTTGGACACATTGGAAATTGAAACGGGTCACTAGCGTGAAAATCCAATACGCTTATCGATTACGCTATTGAACAACTACTCTTACTTCACTTGTATGTACATATAATTCTGCAACAGTTAATCTGTCTTGGAATTATGAAAGAAGGGTCACTATTCATAATTTCGCGCCAAACGCAACGAGTAAATCTTAGCGAATTTCTCTTGGAATGTTCATTTAAATAGGTGAGATAGCTTCAATCAAATAACAAAAGAGCGTTCTTATCGCCTAAATTTTGAGGTGTGGAAAGTATAACACACACATGAAACAAATCGTATATAGGCAAATAACACTAAAGCAGCGAAACAGCTATTAATTGGTAATTTTTCAATTTTCAATCACGAAAGTTGACTATGCCGATTACTTACACTTTCATGAAAAAGGTGGTATGTTTCACCGAAAAAAAATGCCTCGATCGCCCTGCGAAGGTCAAGAAATAAGATTCTATTATCTTCAATAACTTGCATTGAGAAAATAAAATGTTTATATAGGTCAATCAAACGGTCTTTGAAAAATTGTTATCTTTAAAAATAAAATATTTTCTTATTGTATCAGTTGTCCTTTCTATTGATTTAATATGACACAAGTGTGCATGGGAAAACAGTGGTCACGTTTTTTACCTACTACATTCTTGAAAAACGATTAATTTTAACTATGATTTAAGCTATGTGTTACCGTTATGCAAAACAAAAGATATAGATATAATTGTACTTCGTTCGCACATTAATTTTTTTCTATTTCTACTTTGAGAAACAACCAAAACCAATTAAAGAAGACTTGTAAGTAGACCTTGGATAATAAATGTAGTTTGACACCGAATTGCAACGAACCTACGACGTGACAATAAAAGTATCCCTACACATTTCATTGTTCCTTATGTTACTTTCGTTCAAGCAAACGCTCAGCTGCCTCTGTAAACCCCTATTGCGAAATGTCGGAATTGACAGAGACCGCCGCCATTAAGATCACGCTTCAGACTTTTGAATGTTAATATCTCGAGTTCGAATTCATCAATTTACAAACAAATTATATATTCAGCCTAATGAGAAATGTTTCTATCAACCATACTAATATGATTTGAAAATATTGAAAAACAAAAAAGTTTAAAAATTTGACTTTTTTTCTTTGCATGCCGTTACGACAGGAAGTAGAGACGACGTACAAAAGATCGCGTCTTCGATAGTTCTTATCACGATCTATAATCCCTGAAAGTTCCACAGTGATATCTTTAACCGTTCTTTAGATTATCCACGAACAAAATGTCAATTTAAAATCAGATAATTGTCCGTAACTTGGCACCAGAAAGGAATTTCCAAAAAATCTCCAGGATATAGTAACTGCAGACAGCAACACATTGTTCCTGCAAATTTCATAAAAATCCATCTAGTAGTCTTCAAGAAATCACGTGCACAAAATTTGATGGTCAGAAATATTATAATTATAATGAGCTCAGGCGAGCTTCAACGCCTTTTGCGCTGGAAAGATATAGACTCAAAAAAGCAATTTAGCAATCCTTCCTCTACCTTCACTGAAAATCTCAAGTCAATATCTTCATTCGTTTTTTAGTGATTGCCCGGACAAGCTGACCCTCTTAAAATCAGTAAATCGTCCATATCTCACGACCGGAAGTGACGACGTACTTATAAAAAAATTTCCAATAAGGTTCAGACCAATATCTATCAGATCTGAAAGTTTCGTGAAAATCGACCAAGCCGTTTCCGAGAACTCGCTTGCACAAAAATCGGTAAGAAAAAAAAAATAATAATAATAATAGGGAAAAAGAAACCGAACGAAAACAATAAGGTCTTCCGTTGGAAACGGAAGACCTTAATAATAACTAGATATGAAACTCGTTGCGAGCAACGAGAGGTCTTCCGTCCGATTCCGGAAAGAAAACGTAAAATGGAGCTGAAAATGTAAAAAAAAAAAAAAAAAAAAAATTGCACACAAGGCTAGGGGGATTGAACGCAAGTTGCCAGCATGAAATTCCAACGCTCTAGATATTATGCTATTGGGACCTCTACTCTAAATCTACTTATATATATTCACGAAACCGTGCTTCTTTCTTTAAATTATCAAAGGCGGGTCACTATTCAAAATTTAGCGCCGAACGCCACGAGTTAATCTTCGCACCTTTTCTTTGGAATATTCTATATAAATAGGTGTGATAGCTTCAATGAAATTTAAAAAAGAACGTTCCTTTAGCCTACGTTTCGAAGTTTAGATAGTATA